TCGAACCTCTTCCCCAGAGGCAGCTGAAGCAGGAACAATACAGTTGGAACTTGATTGTGTGACTATACTAAACTTCTGTAAAAGAACAGTTTTCATTATCCAACCACTTTGGACTCATTGCAAATTAATGCAAATTAATTAGTTAATTCTAAATAAATAAATACAAGGTTGAACTTTAAAACTGTCTTTGTTCTCCTAAGGATGAGTCAAATGTTTTATTTTCAGTCTTACTATTCAAAGGACACCATCATTCAGTTTCTTAATATAAAATGAAATTATAAAACTGCTTCAGACAACCCAATCAACAAACAACTAAGTTCACATAACACATTAACTCAAGATTGGTTCAGTTATTTTGCTGAATATGCTCCAATTGATTGGATAGATATACTGAATTAACTATAAGCTAAAGTTAACAAACTAAATGAGGGCTAACACATAAACATCAAACAAATAAGGTTGGGATATGGTGCTGTATATGACCTGGTTCTGTATGTCTTTAGTAAGTTCAAATTGGATTGTATTTATGATATGATTTCACCTCAACTTCTAGCTTCAGATTTCCAGAACAACAAAGAGTCAGTGATCTGGTGGTTCAAGCACCAGGAGAAAGCCAGAGACCGTGAGTTCTAGTACCACTTTAGCCATGAAAGCCAGCTGGGTGATTTTGGGCTAGTCACTCACTCTTAGTCAATCTCACCTACAGGTGGTTATGCGGAAAATAGAAGCAAGAAATATAGATAGTCCTTGACTTACAACAGTTCATTTAGTGACTGTTCAAAGTTGTAACAGCACTGAATAAAGTGACTTATGGTCATTTTTCACACTTACAACCATTATAGCATATCCATGCTCATGTGATCAAAATTCAGATGCTTGGCAGTTGGTTCATATGTATGACCATTGCCGTGTCCCAGTCATGAGACACCTTTTGCAACCTGTTTGCAAGTTTATGGATTGACAAGCCAAATCTATGGAGATGCCAGATTCACTTAACAAATGTGTTACTAACTTACCAACTACAGTGATTCACTTAACAACTGTGGCAAGAAAGGTCAAAAAGGGCCAAAACGTTTTACTTAACAACTGAAATTTTGGGCTCAATTGTGGCTGTAAGTTGAAGACTACCTGTAGTATTAGATATGTTCAGCAAATTAAATAAATTAAATAAATTTCTTTTACTAAAATAAATTTAGTAATAGAAAAAGTGAGATAAATAAAAAAAGATTTTCTATATTTTGTTTACCGGAATGCATTTCCAGGTATACAGTGTCATGGGGTTGGGATGGATTAGTATATTATGGACTCTAACTATTCATAAACAATTATTTATGTCTTAATGTGCCGCGTTAATCCAGCCAGTTGTGATTTATCAAATTATGATACTANTGGGGTTGGGATGGATTCGTATATTATGGACTCTAACTATTCATAAACAATTATTTATGTCTTAATGTGCTGCGTTAATCCAGCCAGTTGTGATTATCAAATTATGATACTATGCTTCACCTTGTCTGGACCTGTAAAATAAATTGGATTAAACCTGAATAGTATTTGGATGGACAGTATCAGATACCCACAGGGCAGTAGGTTAGACTATGTTTAAAAAAATGTCTTGGAACAATGCAATGACAAACCACTGCATTATAACTAAAAAAGAAAACACAACCACAAAGTCACCAGGTTTACAATGCAACTCAAAGACTGGACTTGATTTCTTTGTAAACCAATGTATTGTGTAATGTAGCATAATTAGTTAACTATGTAAAAAAAAAATAATGTCTGAATTTATCCTGTGTATATTTTCTTAATGGAAAGCACCCAAATATAGAGGAAAAAACCCTTGTATTCAAGATTATTTAAAAAGATCACCTGCTTCCACATGATTTTTTCCCATCTGTTCAGATCACTTGTGGAGATCTCACTTCATTTGACCTTATCAAATTCAGATAGTGAGAATTAATGTAGAGCTGGTTTCAGAGAAAGTGCCTTGCCTCCCATTTATACCAGAGATGGGGAACTATGGTCCCTTTGATGTGCACTTCAACTCGCAGAATTCTTGAGCCAGCTTCCAAGTCAAGTCATAAAAGGGCCATAGTCCCCCATGCCTGATTTATAGTGACAAAATTTGACCTCAATGTCTCAGGGCTCTATATGAATGGCTGATTTTCACTTGAAGCCTATCTTTGCTAAAAGTTGGATATTATTTCATCCTTCTTCTTTTTCTTTTTTTTTAAATTTCTATATTTTTAATCCATGCACTCCTAGTATCATTTATTGCTAGTTTTTCTTCCTATTGTTGAATTTTTCTTAATTTGTATTTATTATTGTATGTTTATGAAGTTTATGGATTCTATTTTGAAGCCACCCAGAGAAGCGGGTATCTTCTGTTATGTAATACAGAAATGTAATAAGAAAGCGTGCAATAATATTTAAATTTCAGACAAAAACATGAGTAAGCGTAAATTTGATTTTGAGAATCTTATCTTGACAATTTTTACTGCTGCTAATTTTAGTCACCAATATATATTGTGCAGCATTTTTATACTGGTAATGCATTTTTAAAATAAAATATGTATATTTAAAAATAAAAAAGTCAAATACATTTGTTAATTATAAATGCAAATATAGCACACTACAGGGCAATTGTTATCTGCTGATCTTTTAAATGTTATAGCTATTTTAAATTACATTAGTCATTAAGTTGCCTGTTGCAAATACTAAGGCTGTGGGAGAAAAATATTTAAATCAGGGGTGGATAACCTGAATTCTATGGTTTCATCTTATAATTCCATTTCCTCCCCTTGCAGGTCCAATTTATCTTTCTTTAGCCTGCTCGAATGGACTATATTTCAGTAGTGCTGCTGACAAAAAAAATGTTATTCTTTCCTCTCATTTTAACCCAGAGAACATAGAAAGTTAAATTCTTAAATTGACTTTCACAGCTGGGAGGGAATCAAAAAACCCATCAGCCCAGCACAAAATGCCATAAAATTAAGCTCCATCTACATGTTGATGCAGCTGCCTCACTTGGCATCATGTTCCCTGACATTGAGGGCCCAATATTTCAAAAATGTAGCTCTGGCTACAGTGTAGCTCTGGCTAAAAGGCCCACCATTATTTTTAATATATTGTATGAAACCAGTAAGTAGATAACATAAATCTTTGCTAAAGTGCAACAATCCCCCAATCCCTTTCTATTGTAATTCTCATAATAAATTACTCCAAACATCTCTACATTCTCTTCTCTTCCTAGCTGTTCTTCTACAATGCACATTACCTGAGTGGTTTTCTAGGTTGAAGTCTGCACTCCTTAGCACCATTTTATCTCTTCATGGTCAGTATGTTAACAGAATAAGGCATGACTAGCATACTGAAGTGTTTATAGGAATAAGACCTGCCCTGTGTACCTAGTGTCATTCTGCTCCAGGAACAACAACAGGATTCAGCTGATGCTGAGTTTCAGAAACAGTCTTTATTAATCCAATACCCATAGCAATCACTTGATCATCCTATATTCTCTCTTGAATAAAACTGCTGAAGTGAAACCCAAGGAATTTTCCAACTTTTTCATTCCAGCACTGTTTATACATGCTTCAACCAGCAGAATGTATTCTTTGCAGAGACTTTCAACTGTCCTGAACCTGAATGGTTCTCAACAAGTGGAGAAAACCAACAACTAAGAGTGTCAACTAGACATATAGAATAGAACTAAACTGCAGAATTAAGAAATGTAGCACTTCAGAGTAAAGATGTAGCACTTCAGAAAAGGAGTCAATTTAACAGTAGCTGCCTACAGATCTTATCTTATGGGAAGACAGGAAAACTCTTCTAGCTTTTCAATAATGGCCCATAAAGCAAATGTATAGGAAACTATTGGCTATTACAAAATTTCAGGGAAATAAATTATATGAGTGGGCTTGAATAAATTTATTAATCCTTAATCTGCTCATCATAGCTATATTCTTTGTTGTCTCTGGTGTAACTGACAAATAAAGCTATTCTTCTGGGGGAAATATTGTATTTTTTATAAGATTTAGCAATAAATTACATGTTGCTTGATTATATAATTTGCACAAGGCTTGGCAGTATAAAATGGTTTCACCATCAATAGTCCTGACAGATCTGAAATAATCTAAAAGTTTTGCACAAATTCAGGGTACTCACAATGTGAATTGACTGTAAATTGGGGGAAGGGATTGCCTCCAAGTCAATCTTGATGACTACATGAACAACTTCCTGCAGAATTCTTGGCAACATTTTTGAAGGGGTTGACTATTGTCTTTGTCCTAGGGCTGACAGCCAAAACTGGTCCAAAGTCACCCAGCTGGTTTCCTAGCAAGTAAGGTGCTCCCAGACGAGCACCTTAACTACTAGACCAAATTGGCTTATTTCACATGCCAAAATAAATAAATAAGATCCTTCATAATTTTAAATTATGGCTAGTTTTTCAGAAAAGTATCATTATATTACATTGACTTATTAAATTGCTTAAATGTTTAAAACACTCTTCTGAATTATGAGGCTTTGTCTGTAAAAAACTTAAAAACGATATGTGAAAAGAAATGAAAATACCGAAAGGACATAATTTGAATGGTTTTAGATGAAGAGGGAGAAAGCTGACTAAATTTAAAGCTTTCTCTTGAGTTTTAGCCAAATGCCCTTTTTTGCTGGCTATCTTGGTGGTGGAAGTATTTGTGGTCTGCTTTGAGTGAAGGTAGGAGTAAGGTGGAAATCTCAAATCCTAGCAGCTGTGTTAACAAGGTTAAAACAAATAACCAGATTTCCGAATTGCAAGCCATACTGACCAGTAAGCTGAGCACGTGGCCTGTGTACCCAAACCTCCTAAGGCAAAATGGGGTTTGAGGTAACGTGCGAATTCAGGCTTTTGTTGGCGTGAATTTTTTCGGTATACTCCAGAAGCCAAGTTTGTGAGACTTACTTTTACCCCACGTACATTTGCATTGCTTACGACCGCCCCTTGGGAGTGCTAGACTTACTATCTCAACCATCATGAGGATTCCAGGAATCGTCTTCAGAAATTCTTTGTCGTATGCGAGCGTGCTGGATCTGGACGTTGCAAAGGAGCTGCTGGTTGTGGTCACCATGTGCGAAGGAGCGCGCTCCTGATGGCTTTCGCGGGGCATCTGTTCCATCTTCAGCGGCAGCAGGGACACCGTCGGGAGCTTGACCGCCAGCTGCAGCAGCCAAAGACAGGCTCTTCAACCCAAAGGCTCTGGACTTGTGGCCGAAGGTTGGCGTCCGAAGAAGCAAATTACGCCCAGGGCTCTTAAGAAGGTGCAGGTTTTGGCGCAGCCTCCTTAAAGAGTCGCCTGTGAAAAACCCCGCCGGCGGGACTGGGGGCAGAGCTAAGGGGACGCACGCGGGCGGGGAGAGGCCTCCGTCACCTGGGGCCGTACAGTTTGGGGAGGGGTCGGAGGAAAGGAAAAGAGGGTTACGCTAGTTCCAAGCGCTATTGCTGCCTGCTCCAAATTGGGTCGTTTTGGAATTTTGTCGAACTAACAAGAAACGTTATCTTGACCGACTTCACTATTGACTGGGAACACTTATCTGGGTAGGCGCCTCTGAAGTCAGTTCCGAAAGTGGTTAATAGAGATATAGTTGGGTCGAACAGAGACCTTGAAGGATTGCATCAGAAAATGCATAATTGTCGTTATCAGTAACTCCTTCACCTTCTACTTCTCCTGTTCTTCATTATGATTGTTAGCGACGAGAATAACAAATTCAAAACCACTTGCCGATACAGACAAGCTCCCTTATTTTCTAGGGAAACATAAACTTCTATATTCTCTTTTAATTTTTAGTACTTTTGGTTTTGCTTTGTTAATAAAACAACCGCCCCTCAGAACCTAAGCGGCACTTTCAATATAACGTTTGAATATTTTTGTGAGCCATTTTGAGTTTTAAATAGTTTGTAAAGCAGGTTGCACATTTCAATAGCAGTTAATTAAGCAGATTAATTGTCTTTTGAATACAGGCACGTACTATATGCTTGGCAAATCAAGCAGTCAATGCAAAGACATACTTGATCAAACTCAGCATAAAAAATGGACACTAATGCATTAACCCTGATGTAATGCCAACTCCCAATTTATCATGTGGCACTCCTAGTACATGGATAATAAAACAGGCTGATATTCAACAGAACTGTAGACTTTAACAGTTACATGACCAATGTATACTTTTTTGTTTGAACAGTCTACTTTTCCATGGCTATATATTTGGAAGTTATATATATATGTATTCATGAAAAAGCAAATTATCCCTTTAATTTTTCCCACTGAAGCTACATGATCCTGCCATGCAGTCAGCAAGAGTTGGGTTTAAATAAAAATAAACTTTACTTGCAATATGTAGCAATTTTCACATTGGATGGTTTTCAATCAAATATCTTTACATATGAAAATCCTACAATAAGCTAAGCTAAATTTGCCCAACAACAGTTGATTGAATGGATAACATTGGTTCAGACAAGCAAACATACTGTATTTTGGCTTGAATCCAGCCTATAATGTTTACGTCACAGCAATTGCAGTTCATTGTTGCTTATCTCATGACTAATATTTAAAAGGCACATATTATAATCCTTCAAGGATTTGCAGTTTCCTGCCCACTGCTGGCTAGGAATTATTGAGTGGAAGGGGGAAATAAAGATTTTTTAAATTCCACCTATATTATTTTTATAAACAACTGAGGGTAGATAACATATCTAATACTCCTTCTATTTTCCTCACAACAACCATGTCTGGTGAATTGGACTGAGAGAGTGTTACTGACCCAAAGTCACTCAACCAGCTGTTCACACATAAAATGTGACTGGAACTTGCAATCTCCTGTTTCCTAGACTGGTGCCTTAATAATAATACTTAAAAAAAACCTGTGCATGTGGAAAGTTTATTATGAGGGGATAAACAACATGTCATTCCCATTTTGATATTCTAATGTAGTATGCTGTTTCTAAAGCATCAGATATTTTTTTTAAATCAGCCCTCCATACTCTGCAAATTTTAGTTTGTATCCATGAAGAAGAGGTGTGGTGGCACAATGGTTAGAAGACAGTACTACAGGCTACTACTACTGATTGCTGGCTCCCAGCGATTTGGCAGTTCGAGTCTCTTTATAAATGTGTTTTTATTTTCCATTTTCATTTTCGTACAGTCAC